CCACACAGCCCCGCCCCCGGCGCCCAGCCACTATCGGCACTGGCGGCCACTAGCTAACTCTATTACCGCTACCGAAAAACGCATTACTTTTTAAATACATTATTTTATTTTACTTCAAACTAAACAATAATAAATAAAATCATTTGTTCATTTTACACGTAATCAAACAACTCCAAAATAGAAAATTTTATTTGGGCCAACTCTTATATAATCTCTTCTAAGGTCTTCCACGCAATTAAAAAAAGGAAAAAAAAGGTATGCTTAATTTTTGGTACAAAAATAGGATGTAAAACTCTCATCATATTATCTGCTTTTTTAGGATACAATAAAATTTAAACAATACTCCTTGGTGAGCTCATTGACTTCACATCAAAACTAGTTAATATATTAAATAAAAAACTGTACAGAAAAATAAAAAAAAAAGGCAGAATAAACCCTTATTCTACATCAAAATTGATTTCATATTAAAACAAATGCTTCAAACCTACATCACCAGTGGAAATGGGGTATGGTCAGCCTCATATTTCTTAATAACATAAAATGAAGAATAACAATAGCAAAATAATCTAAATAAATATAAAAAACCCATCATATTTAATTATTATCTACAACTAATTAAAAAAAAAATTAATATCTACATTTACATTGTTGCTTATATAACAGGATCCCCATTAACTCCACTCCCCCCACACAATCACCTCCTCCTGCCATCATTTAACCCTACAATATCAATATTAATATCAATATCATTCATTCTCACCCCTACCACCACCACCACCACCATTTCTCCTCCTCCTCTCCATCAAAGATGTCATCTTCCACCGACGCAGCCCCAATCGTCCGCCCCCCGCCGCAGCCCCACCCGTCCGCTCCTCCTCCTCCTCCTCCTCCTCCTCCTCCTCTCAAGCCTCCAATCTCCAACTCCGCCGCAGCAGCACCCTCTCCGGCCCACCCATCCCCACTCTATGCCTCATGTCCACCGCCTCCTCCTTCCTTCGCTCCTTCTTCCCCTCCCTCCGCGCCGCCTATTCATGGCTCCGCACTCCCAACATCCCCCTCACCACCCTCCCCCGAACCTCTTCCCCATCCCGCCGCCTCACCATCACCTTCTTCGGCCACCGAAAAGGTCGCATCAGCTTTGCCGTTCAAGAGACCCCCCGCTCCCATCCCCTCCTCCTCCTCGAACTCGCCACTCCCACCTCCCATCTCGTCAAGGAAATGGCTTCCGGCATGGTTCGCATTCTCCTCGAGTCCGAACAGGGGAAGATGAAGAGAACGTTGTGGGAAGAACCGGTTTGGAGCATGTTCTGCAACGGCCAAAGGTGCGGCTATGCGGTGGCGAGGGAGTGCACGGCCGCTGATTTGAAGCTGTTGGGTGCGGTCAGCGCGGTTTCGGTGGGCGCCGGAGTGATGAGCGCGGCGCTCGCTCTGCCATCCCCTGAGGATGTGGGAGAAGCTGCGACGGCGATGGCGCCGGTGACGGCGCCTGTGACAGCGCCGGCTTGTTTAACCAGGAATGGGAGTAAGGTGGGAGGACTGGGAGACGGCGAGGTTATGTATATGAGGGCCAGGTTCGAGAGAGTGGTGGGAAGTAAGGATTCAGAGGCTTTATACATGATGAATCCGGATGTGGGAGGAAAAGGACAACAGGGGACGGGATCTGCAGGGAAGAAAAGCTCTAATGGCGCCCCTGAGCTGAGCATATTTCTACTCAGGGTTTAGATTTGGATTAAGAAGACAGATTTATTACAGAGGAGGAGTTGCAGAAATTAAGAGTTTTTTTGTTACATTGTTTGGCTTTCTTCCTCGTTGGATGTCAGAAGTAGTTTCCTTTCCTACGTGTGCTGATACATTATGTGCGGATTTGATGATCTTTTGGTGATATTGCAGTGATATTAATCATAATATCAACATGATGCCATCAATTCGAATATATATTATCTGCACGTAATATTTGATTGAAGAACGAGCGAGTTATTAATCTCTGCTAAAGTTTAGATTATATTTATATATATATACATACATACTTTGAATAAATGTTGCTCCTTTAATGAAGATATGACTGTTCTATAATATAAGAAACCTTGTGCTGATGTTAGTAGTTTCTTATATTTGTTCTGTAATTTAATGGAGGAAGTTTCATGTGATGCATAAAGTAATTATTTATTGGGTAGTTGTATGTTATATGAGTTCTTTCATTTAATGGAGAAAGTTCTTTATTTCTGATATGTTTTGGAATGAATGAAAGATGCTGGATTATTTTAATGGATTGTAAGTCTGGAATTTTGTGCGCCAAATATTTTGGGATGGTGATTTGGGGGTTTTTTTAATGAAAGTTTGGGCACTTTTCATTGGCCTTCATGTGAGTTTTAGATTCAAGTTGAAGAAATGGAGTTTTGTTTGATCAGAGGCCAGGTACTCAATCCTTCTGGATTATGCCTGATGTCCCCTGGCTTTTAGTGCCTTGGAGTGCAAGAGGAGTATGGCTTGAGGGTATTTTTGCAATGATTTTAGTTGGCACTGATTCGACTTTCTTTTGCACCTTTTGATTGTAGGTGCTGGCTAATTTGGTTGATGAAGCTTTTGTTAATGTCTTAAGAACAAATCTCACCTATAAATGTTCTGTCAATTTTGGAAGATTTACATGCATGCTATTCAATTCTTAATTATTTACAAATCTTGTAGTCAAATTTCAATTTTTACATATATGTCATCTTATTTATGTGTGAAAGGTATTTTTTGAAAGTTGAAATAATGATATTTTTTATGTGATGTGAAAATATATGTGCTATACATGTAAAAAGTGATGTCTTGGGTTAGATATGTAAATATATGAGAATCGAGCAGCATGTCGCTAATAAATTTTTAACATGTAATAGTTTTTACATAGGCAGCTATTTGAGGGGATTTTATAAAAGTGAGCAGTTTATCTAACTATTGAAAAAAAAAAAAAAAGATCACTTGATTAGTTCCATAAAAAAAAAATCTTATGAAAAAGTAGTTTTATGTTATCATCAATATTGTTACATTCAATGTATAGATTTAAGATGCATAGAATTACATGATTATTTGATTAAAAATTTCTCTAATTTTGTAAGTTTTGGTATTAAAAATTTGCATTCTGTGAGTTGGATTTGAAGAAATTTTAGTTCAAATTTTGTGTTTTAAGAACTATGTGAACAATTGTAATAAAATATATTGTAGATAAAAAATATTAACCAAATTAGGCTTAAAAATGCTATAAAAACCTTTTTCTATACAAATAAATAAATAAAAGGTTGTCATTCTCTTTACTTAAGTTTTGCTATGAGATATTTCTGCGTCGATCTTTAGGGGGTTTGAAAGTCAAGAATGTATTTTGCTGATTTGTGTGTAATGTAAAGGAACTCATATGTGATTATAGGAGACAAGCTTAAACACATAAACAACAGATAAATAAAAAATAATAAATAACACAACAAATCATAATTACACAAATTTTCTCCTTCTCGATTCATTGACCTCAGTCTCCACACAGGAGTTGATAAGTCAATGTATTGGTTCAATAAACCCAATAGAGTATGTACAAATGCATGATATAATCACTGTACACCGCAAAAGAACCCTTAGAAGCCCAAAGCCCAATGATTCACTTCTAAGATAATTAGGTCAGAGCTTAAGATAGATGCTTGACCCTAAAATATCTGTTTTAAAATAACACCTGACTAATCTTCAAGTTAAATTCCCGTATTATCTATCCTGACCATGTCTCCCCTACGATCCTCTTTGATTGAAAGTAAGTTCATGTGCTTTATTTCGTAATGTTTTCAGACATAACAAAGACAACATAAAATTCCAAACTATCAAACCAAAACTCCCTGGCATGACCAAACTGAATCACCTAGGAGAATAAAACAAATTTCCTTATCAATCACATAAACCTTTCCTTTGACTAGATATTAGATTGAATAATAGTTCCAGTGTTGTCCTTCATGATCAGGTCACTTCGTCTACTTCCTAGGTTGGATTTTAGTTCCACTTCTTTCCTTCCTAATTGTAGCCACATTTTCAGCGTCCTTTGACTAGCTCTCATGATGAATGATATTTTTAGCATTGTCCTTCATAATCTATTCTCATCATTTACTTTCTAAATTGGATATTAGTCCTAGTATTTTTCTTCCTAATGTAGACACATTCTCAGCTTTCGTTTACTAGCTCTCCGGCTGAATGATAATTCCAATGCCGTCCATCTTGATCTAGTCATTTTTTCTATTTCCTAGGTTGGGTATTAGTTCTAGTGCTTTCCTTCCAAAGTGTAGCCACATTCTCAGCTTCCTTTGACTAGCTTTCAGGATGAATGATAGTTCCAACATTATATTTTTTTGTCACTTCGTCTACTTCCTATGTTGGATATTAGTCTCAGTGCTTTCCTTCCTAGTGTTGACACATTCTCAGCTTCCTTTGATTAGCTCTCAAGATGAATGATAGTTCTAGCACTATCGCTCCTGATTTAGTCACTTCATCTACTTCCTAGGTTAGATATTAGTCTCGAGACTTTCCTTTCTGGTGTAGACACATTTTCAACTTCCTTTGATTATTTCTTGGAATAAATTATAATTTCAGCATTGTCCCTTTTGATCTAGTCATTTCATTTACTTCCTATATTGTATATTAGTATGAGTGCTTTCCTTCCTAGTTTAGACACATTCTCAGTTTCCTTTGGCTAGTTTTCAGGATGAATGACAGTTCCAGCATTGTTCTTCTTGATCAAGCCACTTTGCCTACTTCTAAGAATGAATGTTAGTCTCAGTACTTTCCTTTATGTTTTGGTCAGGCCTTACATTTCTTATGATTAGCCTTTTAGACATATATGAATCCTTTTTCTGTCATAACCTAATCACCCCGTTCACATATTTAGTTAGATGTGAATCCACATGATTTTCTTCCCTAACGTATTCAGGTGAACCTAAAATCCTTAACGGATCACAAACATTGCAATTCATAAACTGTGACCCCAAATCTTTTTAAAATCCAAAGTTTGAAATCATATGTCTAATTCTTGGGACTTGATTCATCTTTTTCAGCCAACTCCACTATGTGTGTCATACTTTGAGCAGTTGATCTCACATATTGGGGGTTCATTTTGTTGACCTCTTTTTGGTCATCTAACTCACATTCGACTCAACAAACACATCATGGCGCCCCTCATTGGACCGGCGTGGTCATGCTTGGTTTGGTTTTACATATTCAGTTAGATGTAAACCCAGATCCAACCCAGGTCAACCCATATCCAATCAAGGTCAACCTAGGTCCAACCCAGGTAAACATAAATTCAACCAAAGTCAATTGAAGTTCAACCAATGTTCAACCCAAGTCCAAACTAGGTATACCCAAGTCAACTTAGGTTCAGACTAGCTGACCCACATCATATTTAAGCTCAATTTCAAGCTGATTTTGGTTAAAAAATTAGCTAGCCTCAACTCAAACCCCTGTCCAAGTCTAATCTAGGCTAAATTCATGTTGTTTTGCATGTTATTTCATGTTTAGTTTCATATTTTAATTCCATGTTTATTTTCAAAAGTAGCAAAATAAAAATAATAAAAAAATTAAAAAATAAAAAGGAGGAAGAGATCCTCTCACAAGATGGTTCTCTTCACAAACACCCAAACTTTAAAACCAAATCCAAAATTGAAAACTTAGAAAATTCTTGATTTTTCACCAAGACTAACAAATGTAAGGATTCAAACAAAACATAAATTAAATTTTAAACCTTCAACATCTAATATATACCAAGATAAAGAATGAAAGTCAAACCTAGGCAAATTCGACATGAACCCTAGGTTAGCCAACTTAGACAACAAAACTCAATATCATACGCCAACCTTAGGTTAGTCAAAGTATGGAGACTTGGATTAGTTTAATAGCTTATCTAGTTAGTGCTAAGGACTAGGACATATAAAACAAACAATCCACCCCTTAAAATTAGAGGGAATACCCTAGTATAGCCCATAGTTACTGATGAAAGTATTTCATATCACTTTGAATTATAAAACTTCCACATGCCACGAGCATGCAACTCAAGAAGGATTCTTGGTTATGAGGTTAGCTATAGTTGAAGGATACATATGTTTCTGGAATGATGAAAGCCATGAGCATTCTGATCAAGGATGTTATTCCCAAAGTCTAGGTTAGTCTACCAATTAAGATTCTTGATAAGGTCTAAGGCTTCACTTCCACCTAGAAATTCTTCTCATATGATTTTGCCATTCAGTTTAGAATTTCTATTCACTTCAGTCAATCAAATCAATTATACCTAAGTTATCATTTGACCTCACCTGATCAATTCAAAATCATTAATAATCTTTTTTGGTCTCCTTATCAATCATCATCCTACAAGTAAAACCTCCTTCTCTCAATGGTTAAAACCTTTATTTTGTTCCTTTTGTGAAACACAATCATTGAATTGTAACTCACATCACTTTGAGCTTAATTCTTTCAATTTGGATCCTTCCTTCACCTCCAATACTTCAATTATGAAAGTTCAATTTTGATAACTCAACACATTATACTAATCGAGAGTTTTCTTTAGAGCTCACAGCTCTATGGATATAATTAACAATGAGGGCTTGCCCTTTTAAGGAACATGACCCAAGAATAAAATAAACCTTATCTTACACTTATAAGTTAAGGGAAAAACCCAGTTCCATAGACTTACGAAGGTCTTCATCATCCAAGTGATCATGCCTATTTTTAAGGTAATATTTCTTTTATTTTGGACGATAAATTATTCTTCAAATTTTATGCCCTATCTTCTAGATAGAAGCCTCACGAAAGTTCTATGACAAGCGGTGACATAAATATTCCCTCACGAAACACCGACAACAAATCTCCATTTCAACTATTACATCAAAAATCACCCCAATAAACACATCTAAAAACTCTCTGATGCTTTTGCTTTCCTTGGCTCGCTCCTCAAACAAATAACAAATTCTCACCTAGATTCACTTTTTTTATTTTTCTTAGCTACTCCCCTACCCACAAAGGCTACAAATATTATAAAACTGACAACGATGAAACTAACATATCAAGACATGCCAAGTTTTACAAACATTCCTTTCCCTTCCAAATTCTGCCAACATATATACCCAAAACAACCTTAACATTAGCGCCATTAAACCATGTATCACCACTCACGTTAGTCCCCAACTTACAAGCTCGTCCTCACAAAACTATAACACCGGCCCAAGCCTCGCAACATCATATATCTCCACAGCTTTCCCCACTTCTCAACCTACCTCCCAAAAATTCAATCCCTCCCTAATATAGTAATTCTCATACTAGCCCACACCTTTCCAACTAAACTTCAATTCCACCCAGTCCCCCGCTCCACCAACATCATCAACGCAACAATCATAACATGCTCACTAGAGGAAAAATTGGTAATTTAAAACCCAAAGCCATCTTCAATCTGTATCACACTCTAACTGATACATCCAAGGACCCAACCTTCTATCATGAGGTTGTCAAGCACATGCATTGGCACAAAGCTACGTTCAAGAAATTTTTAGCCCTTCCCTCCTATCCTGAATTTCAATCCCATCATCAGCCTCACAAAATATCCTTAGTTGCAAATGGGCCTATAAGAAAAACCAAAAATCTAATGGGACCATTCTCCGTCATCTAGTGGTACAAGGTTACAAACAACAACATGGTATCGACTATGATCAAACCTTCAGTTATGTCACCAAAATTCCTACTAGATGTACCCTTCTCACTATGGCTATCTCAAACCAGTGGAAAATAACTCAGCTTGATATCTCCAACACTTTTCTGCTTGGGCTGCTTCATGAGAATGTTTATGTTTGAACCTACTAGTTGCAAAGATCCAAACAAACCAACACACATCTTCCTTCTGAAGAAAGCTGTCTATGACCTCAAGCAATCTCCAAGGCAATTACACTACTCTAACATCCACCTTACAATCATTTGGCTTTCAATTAAGCTAATGTGATCCCTTTTAAATGGTTTCGATCGAATCCAACTCTGAAAGCTACATTTCGATATACATAGATGATATCCTAATTACAGGGAGAGACTCCAACTTTTTGAATTAAATTGTCAGTCAACTAAATCAACAATTTGAAGTCCAAAATCTTGATAAGTTGAATACATTAAAAAAAAATCCAAATAGACCACACTTCCAATGGAGTCTGAGTAGGCTAAAGACATCCTCACACATGCGGGATGCTATCATGTGATCCGATTAAAACTCCCATCTCTACCAAGGCCACAACCTCTACTACTAAAGTAGAGATATGTGACAATCTTCAATGACAAAAACACCTCATTTGCTCACTCCAAGACCTTATGCTCACAAGAGCCGACATAATATTCTTGATAAAAAAACAAACACTTCATTCAATTAAAATAAGTACTAATATATGTAAAAAGTCATAGCGACAAAAGTTTATTGATACACAGAGGCGGTTTACAACTTCAGGCATTTTCTGACTTCAATTGGACGAGCGACCCAACTGATAGTAAATCCACTATCAGATTTTGCTTGTTTCTTGGCACAGCTCTCATGTCTTGGTGTACTAAGAAAAAAGCAATGGTGGCCTGCTCCTCAACCAAAGTAGAATACTGAGCCTTATTCACCACCGCCATTGACATTATCTAGTTAAGGCAACTACTTTAGGTCTTCAAAGTTTCCTTTGTTGAACCAACTCCACTCTATTATGAAATATTTTAGCTTTGGCCATGCAAGAACCAAACACACTAAGATCGATGTTCACTTCATTCAGAATTGCATCACAAACAAACATATCATTGTTCATCATATATATACTACAAATCAAGTGGTAGAAATTTTTACAAAAGCTCCCATCTTTAGCAGATTCAACACCATATACAACAATCTGATACTTTGTACATGAACAATCAACTTTAGAGGTTGTATAAGCATATTTACATATTCGGCAAAATAAAAGGATATCAAGAATGTCTACATCAACTATCAAAATCGTAGCTATTCATATTTATTGCTCTTGTCTTCACATTCTCTTATATACCCGTCCCTATATTATGTAAATATTGGTTGTACCAGAATAAGACATTCTATAAGAATTCTCTTCTCGCTCTTATTACTCTCATGCATCTTCTTCTTCCTCTTCATCATTTCTTTGTCTTGCAGATAGATACTGTGAATGGAAACCTGTTCGATCGTCCATTAGCTTTGAAAGGACATGTTTAAAAATAAGATGACAAATGGTATCACTAACACATTTGATCAAACATGGACATCCATGTAATAATTAAATTAAAAAATTTGGAATTATTTTTTAGAAAAATTCAAGCTCCAAACATAGCAAATTTATTGTTGAATTGAGTGCTTAGATAAGACAAATCTATTTATACCAAAAGTGTCTCTAATTCTATTCAAATGAGCCTTAATCAATCACTTGAAGTGTGAGTAAAAATTTCAACATTTTAGTAAACAAATCAAATGATCTACACATTTTACGAGCTTATAGTAAAAAAGTGCCACTTAACAAAAGAAATCAAACTAGCCTAAGGCGGATGAATGCTGAAAGAATAATTTGTAGTCAAGAGGATAAATATGGTATGTATAATCAAGTGTTTTGAAAGCTTTTAACTTACATATATAAAAAAAATCATTTATAGATTGTTTGCTTGAAAATAGAATTAAATTATATAT